GGGGTCTCGCTCTTGCTCAGGCTGGTCTCGAGCTCCTGACCTTGAGCGATCCACCCGCCTCGGCCTCCCAGAGAGCTAGGATTACAGGTGTGAGCCACCGCGCCCGGCCTTAGTATCTTTTAAAGGAATTTGGGTTAAACATCTATAACTATTTGTCAAAACAGCAATATATACTCATAGTTTGTGTATTCATAGTATATAAATTTTACACCAAAAGAAAAAATAGTAAACAAATATTAAACTCTCAATGATATGTATGAAGTATTTAGGAGATAATGCCCATGTCTGCAATTTACTTTGAAATACATAAACGAGACAGCTGGATAGATGGATATGTGATGTGGTAAAGCCAAGTTAAGTGTGTTTACCGTAAAATTCTTTCAACTTTGTTGTTATGTGTGAACATTTTCATCATAAAATGTTGGGAAAAAAATTCAACTCAAATGTCAGTCTTACAAGGCTCCCCAAGCACATCCACTGTTTGTGCCTCTCCTCTGTGTTCCCATTACACCCAATAAAAACATTTAACTTACTTCATTGCATTAGCTTTGCTTCTGCATCCCAACACCCAGAACTGAAAGTAAGTCCAAAACGAAGTCTGTCTTGTTGGTCTTTGCCTTATCAGCAGCTAGCACAATGCCAGGCACACAGTAGATAGTCAGATTTGCTGACTTTAAGTGATACTGGGTGAACTTCATGACCTAATTTCCTGATAACCAAAGGGCTTGTGCTGCTTTATTCGCTCATTTTCTTTTGCTGAATCATTATAGCTACCAGAATAGTCTATCTGATCTGGTGGGGTAAGTCCCCTTTGTGGCAGAATATTAAAAACATCTCTTCTAGGTTATCTTAATCTTCTTCCCCAGTCTTCCAACTTTTAAAGCTATTAGTAACTATTGATGGGCTCAAGGTTCAGATTATTTTATACTTTCTTCATAGAAGCCAGCTGGGTAGCATATTTAGGACAATGTTTATTCACATCACTCAATTCTATAGCCAGCTGGACTCCTTAAAGATACACATGGCACAACAAACAATGTACCACTTTATCTTTATGGGATTATGTATGCTATCCTTATGTATCAAATAGTTTCAATACTTCCTGGGATTTAATGCAGCCAGATTGCTTGGGCTATACAACTCTATCATTTACTAGCCATACAGCCTTGTCTAAGGTATTTCTCTGTGCTTCATTTTCCTCACCTCCTCCTGATTTGCTTAGAAAAAAAAAAAAAAAGGAGGGGGAGTTGGGGAGGGGAAGGTGGGGTGGATAACAAGTATCACCTCTTATCATAAGTCTTAATGAGTTATAACATGTAAATTACTTAAACTAGTGCCCAGCTATTAGCTGTCATTTCAAATGTTCAGTTGTGAAAACCAGTGACAGAAGACAACTCTTCTAGTATCTACAAACTAGCTCAAATGAACAATGTGCTAGTGTTACACTGATACAAATTTCTTTTAAAGAGTACAGTGCAAATCTTGATAACACATTGCACAAAGAGTTTTCAGTATGCTTTTTTTTTTTTTTTTGGAGAGAGAGTCTTGCTCTGTTGCCCGGGCTACAGTGCCGTAGCATCAGCCTAGCTCACAGCAATCCCAAACTCCTGGGATTAAGCAATCCTTCTGCCTCAGCCTCCCGAGTAGCTGGGACTATAAGCATGCGCCACCATGTCTGGCTAATTTTTTCTGTATATTTTTAGTTGTCCAGCTAATTTCTTTCTACTTTTAGTAGAGTCGGGTTCTCACTCTTGCTCAGGCTGGCCTTGAACTCCTGACCTCGAGTGATCCTCCGATCCTGCCGCCTCAGCCTCCCAGAGTGCTAGGATTACAGGCATGAGCCACTGCGCCTAGCCTTTCAGTATGAATTAAATTAGTAAATTCTATTTGAAATCTTGGCTTTTACCCTCCACACCAAGAGCCCCTTATCTAAGATAGGTTTCTCTCTCTCTCATTCTCTAACTTGGCACGCCCTGTTAGTTTCCTTCCGGGTACTTATTTTAAGTTTAATTATTTTGTTTTCCCCACTGGATCTATGAGGGAGGGACCTCTAATACATGCCTACACATAGTAGGCACTCAAATGTACCCTGCATGAACAATGTAGACATTTGAAAGTGTGTTTATCCCATACCAGATAAAAAGTAAGTAACGGTTACAGGTTCCTATTTTAAAGTAATAGCTCAATTAGGGATTTAGTCTCAGTTGAAAATACATATAATTTATTAAAAATATCATATGGTGGTGTTTTCTATAAATTATTCTTAAACAAATTAATGTGATATTCAAACCATTTATAGCCACCCTTCCCCATGATTACAAGAGATAAAAACATACAACATATTGTAGGTTTATTTTTATTCAAAAAGTTACTGTCTCAAGACATAAATACAAATCAGAAAACAGTACAATTAGGACAATAGAATGTGGAGGACAACAGGTTAGAGTAATATATAAAACATTTTTAGCTGGTTGAAAACAAAGCTGTAAGAACTGCTTTCACAAAGAAGTACTCCTTTCAAGAGTGAGAAAAAAATCAACTTAGGTTTAAAATCATATATACAGTCCTCTCAGCAGTTCTAGTAAATGCAGTGGTGTGTAAAACAACATAGGCAATACTTTTGCACATAACAATATTTGTTGATGGAAAATCTGTTAGACAAGTCTGGTTTCATTTGTTATTAACCATGATTTAATAAAATAATTGTTTTTTTATCATGATCTTTTAGCTAACCTATGGTTTTTGGCTACCACAGCCCAATGCTTGTTGATTCTGAATCTAAAAACTGAAAGCCTTTTGGTATTCACCCATCTGAAGATATTCTTGTATTGCAAGCATATTAAGGCATGGAATGATTAAAATAATATACCTCAAGAACTGAGAGACGACTGACAAAAGATAGATACACATGTAATATAAGTTAATATTTTGTTTTAAACGATGTCTAGCTGCCTAAGCCTCGCAAAATGAGTTGATGTCAAAATGGCAAGTAGCCACTTTCTGTTTTAAACTAATTTATTTGTGAAAGGACATAAAATGAAGTTTAAAGCTTAGCTTTCAAAGAATATTATGGGTTATGAATTCTATTATCCCATCTAATTTACATACAGAGGAAATGTACTGTAACCTGTTAGAAGTATCTTTAACCTGAAGACTGCTTGCAAAGACAGATAGATAAAACAATATAAAATACAAATTTAAAAATCATTTTAAAGCATGAACACTCATGCTTTTCTATTTTTAAACATTGTTAAACTTTCAATATATTTCTGAAACCTCATAATTTTAAGTTGGAATTTAAAAGTAAGAAAAAACTAAACAAACTGCGCAATTATAAAATCAGCACCAATTTATATATATATATAATTTTATTTAAAATTTAGATCCCTATTCCCACACTCTAATAAGCTGTATAATTTTTGTTTAGAATTTTTCTGCAAACATACTACAATAAGCTTCTTTTATTTGGAGACAAAATACAGTGGCACTACTGGAAGGAATATCACAACATTACATTTTTACCTTAAAGGACAAGCAAACTTTCAGGGTTGATAATGGGATAAGCATGTTTGAGACGGGTTACCTTCTGGCAGTTCACTGCATCTGGATATTTCTGAAAAGTATAGAGAAGCTCTTGGATTTTAAAAATATCTTAAAATACTTTTAGATGAAAAAATTGTAAAAGTTTTGCTTATAAGTTTACTTTTCTCCACAATTACAATATTTAAAACAAAGTTTTGTTGACTGATGTTTTAAGCATTTAAATTTAGAATGCTAAAAACAATTCTATCCTACAATTTCAGGGTGGGGGGATAAATTCATCCTTAACGTTTCTTAGATGTAAACAGAAATCCAGCAGAGGCCATCATTATTTAGTACAACCAGTAAATAAATGTGAGAGGATTCATATCTGTACCAAATGCCTCTTCAGATTGTTATATTTTTTTAAAAAAAGCATGAAATAATTGATTCAAAAGCCAACTAACAGCGCATAAATAAAATATTTACTTTCTAAAAAAAACTGTAGCTTATCATCAAATTGTTTACTTGTCCTTTACTTTTTTCAGGCAAACAAAACTGCCCCTCAATGCACTTGATCTTGGTAAGCATAAGCATGTCATATTCTCCTTAGAGAAAAATCTGTACAGAATTTCACTGTATCTACCACAATTTTAAAATTTCCTCTTCCATTTAGAAAATGACTCCAACAGAGATTTAATTGTGTACTGGTATTAAAACATTGACACTCCAAGAACCTAATGAGAGAGAAAGAAAGAGGAAAAATATCATTAAAATAGTCATTCATTTCTTTGTAATATATATATCTATAAATACATGAATATTTTATTAAGTTAAATCACATGCTAATAAAACCACTTTGAAAACTCCTCTCTTCAGATATGTAATTCTAAAATTAAATTGACCATCAATAAATAATAAGATCAGGACTAAAGACTGGGCGTTGTGGCTCACTCAATCCTAGCACTCTGGGAAGCTGAGGCGGGAGGATTGCTTGAGCTCAGGAGTTTGAGACCAGCCTGAGCAAGAGCTAGACTCCGTCTCTATAAATAAATTAAGAAAAAAAGATCAGGACTAATCAAGATGCTACTTACCTCACAAATATAACTAATAGTAGTGACCTTGGCTTGATTATGTTCATATACACCCCTAATGCATAGATAATGTCCTGAACATAGGCATTTGCTGAATGAACAAATGAATGTGCTTCCTCATGTATGCTTTTGGCACAAGTTCACTGGAAAGAGTTTTAAGAAAGTCTTGCCAACTTGGCCATTTGTACTCTGAAATGGGTATAGTTTTTAAAAAGGTATTTGAACATGCAGACCCCCCCCCCAAAAAAAATCCAAGTATATAGAAGGCAGAAAGCTTTCTTCAGAAAATCTGGCCTGAGTGAATGAACAGAACTACAAACCTTAAGAAATCAAACAAATAAGGTTAAGTCTGAGCAAAATGACTTATATTGATGCTTTTCTTTTCTTTTTTTTTTTTGAGACAGAGTCTCACTGTGTTGCCCGGGCTAGAGTGCCGTGGCATCAGCCTAGCTCACAGCAACCTCAAACTCCTGGGCTCAAGCGATCCTACTGCCTCAGCCTCCCAAGTCGCTGGGACTACAGGCATGCACCACCACGCCCGGCTAATTTTTTCTATATATTTTTAGTTGTCCAATTAATTTCTTTCTAATTTTAGTAGAGACGGGGTCTCGCTCTTGCTCAGGCTGGTTTCGAACTCCTGAGCTCAAACAATTCGCCCGCCTCGGCCTCCCAGAGAGCTAGGATTACAGGCGCAAGCCACCGCGCCCGGCCTATTGATGCTTTTCTATACATTCTAATTGGAAAAAGAATGCTAGGTAAAATCGAATAATTACTTGTCACTAAAAGTAAAACCAGATGATGAATGGAACAACTCCCTCTTGTTCATTACGCAAAAGTGAATACATAACTTTTAGTGTATATACTAAAAGTTAGGTTGTTCAATTAAAATTCTAGTACTCATTATGCCAATTAATATTTTAGATTACCATAATAAGCTAATAAAAGCTGATATCAAAGCCAGATGTGAGCTGAGATTGAGATCACAAAGGGCTCTTATAAGTTAAATCTCACTTGAACAAAAGTCATAGAATTCAAATTATTTTCATCTGAAGGAATTGTATATTTTCAGACCAAGAAACAAATATCTGATTGCGGCCTCTAAGTAAACAAACAAACAAATAAAATAAAATATAGTATCCCTTCTAGCCATAACACTATGAATCTGGGTAAGGAAAGGTCTGATGATGAATGAAAGGATAAAATCTTAATTAGCAATTTTTGGTGTAGAGTGTGGCATGAAGATGAACTCAACCTCTTTCCAGAGTGCCTCACTAGAAAGCACCTGAACAAGCGAAATTTTGTTTTTGGCGAGGGGGGGGTGTGAGGGGGACAAATTTTATGAAGACTAGGCTATAACTAGATTCTTCTACTAAAACATTATAGATTAGGTTCATTATACTGAACTCTTTTTTACCAATTTTATACTACAGACAATTCTAATAAGAGAAATTCAACACAGGAGAAGAACAACATTAGTGACACTCTCTTTTCTGTGCTAATACAAACTGTTCCTGTTTCTGATGTTAACATTAATAAACAAACATATATTTAAAACTATAAACATCAAGCTTTGGTGTGTTGTGGCAAAACTGGCAGAAAATGACCATTATCACAATGGGATAAACCAATTTTATTTACAGATATAAAACCAACTACACTATAAATCTAGAATCTTATGTATATGCATTTCAAAAGTGATATCCTCAGAATTTTTATATTACCACTCCTGGGTGATGTGAAAATCTTATTTTAAAAGATATATTTAGCATTTGTTTAGTAATAACCTGAAGTATCTATACTAAGGTGCTTTGAGTTATTTCACTTAGAATTGGAGATTCTTAGAACCCGGCATTACAGAATTTAAATTCTAATTTTATTATTGTTTTGATGACTCACTTATCACAGGCTTGAGTAAGAACAGATGTAGGTTATCATATAAAGGTAAACAATTTTATATTCAAAATTTTCCATTATTCCATTCTTAAGTTATGACAGAGACAATATGGGTTAAAGTCTAATGTATATTTTTTAAAAAAACAACTCTTATTAACTTCAAAAAATACATTGTCAAAGACTTCTAAAGATACCTCAGCCTTTAAAGATTACTGACCATTCAGTTATGTGACTGCTGCCATCATGTGGTAATACTATAAAACTACAGTTATAAGTACGTGTGCTCATTTTCCTAATTTTAGCAGCAGAAGCAGTTAACTTGTTATCAAATTAAGAATAAATAAAGGCCTCTCAGTTGTAACATAGTCAATACACATGAGAGTGCCATCAAGTTGACAAATAATTATTAAGGGCCCTATATTTGGCTTCACTTAGATTGTAGCTTTCTCTAAACTTTAAATATCAAAAATAGATACACGGCCGGGCACGGTGGCTCACGCCTGTAATCCTAGCACTCTGGTAGGCCGAGGCGGGTGGATTGTTCTGAGCTCAGGAGTTTGAGACCAGCCTGAGCAAGAGCGAGACCCCGTCTCTACCAAAAAATGGAAAGAAATTAATTGGACAGCTAAAAATATTTGTAGAAAAAATTAGCCGGGCATGGTGGCGCGTGCCTGTGCTCTCAGCTACTCGGGAGGCTGAGACAGTAGGATTGCTTGAGCCCAGGAGTTTGAGGTTGCTGTGAGCTAGGCTGACGCCACGGCACTCGCCCCAGGCAAGAGAGTGAGACTCTGTCTAAAAAAAAAAAAAAAAATAGATACACAAACTTTACATTGCTGTTTCATTATTTTAGTTATCTGAGGTGGAGAACACCTTTCTGCAAATCTAATACATGACTAATGAAACATGCTTAAAGTTCTCCCGACGTTAGACAAATACATGATAAAAATATGCAGATCTCTAAATGCCCATATCAATTTTGATTATAGTTCATCATTTCAATTTACTAATTACTTGTCTTGGTATTTCGCCCAAATGAGGCCTGATTTTAGTTTTGGGAAGTACAACAGTAGAGACAGCACAAGATTATTAAATCAAAAGGAACTGGCATCAAATTACAACTCTGATACTTACTAGTTCTATAACTCTGGGTAAGTCACTAAACTACCTCTTTGGTCTCAGTTTGCTTGGGTATAAAAGTGGGAATTCTACCACCTTTCTCACAAAGTTGCTGAAGAGGATCAAAATAAATCATGCCCACAATAGTGTCTAGCATATAAGCTCTCAAATACTAGCTTCCATACTCTACTACCACAAAAGTGGTAGTCAAGGTGCATTAGAATATCAATTCCTTAAGGACAGAGAAAGTGTCTTATTCATTTTAGCACCAACTTACAGCTTAATAAACTGAATGAATGCATTTCATCATACCTGCTTGAAAATACTTTTATCCCTCCCTCATCATAATAATCACTATCTTCATGTTTTATTTAACAATTAGGAAGATACATATTCCTAGGTTATCAGGAAACCACTTTAATATTCATTTAAACTACATAGACTTATGGGTAGAATAGGTCACTTACGTACTTTATTATAAAACCTTGCTACTCATTGATCTGCAGACCTGAAGCATCAACGACATTTGTCAGAGATGCAGAATCTCAGGCCACACTCCAAACCAACTGAAACAGAATCTACTTTTTTTTTTTTTTTTGAGACAGAGTCTCACTCTGTTGCCCAGGCTAGAGTGCCGTGGCGTCAGCCTAGCTCACGGCAACCTCAAGCTCCTGGGCTTAAGCGATCTTTCTGCCTCAGCCTCCCGAGTAGCTGGGACTACAGGCATGCACCACTGTGCCCGGCTAATTTTTTTTTTCTATATATTTTTGGCTGTCCAAGTAATTTCTTTCTATTTTTTAGTAGAGACGGGGTCTTGCTCTTGCTCAGGCTGGTCTCAAACTTCTGAGCTCAAATGATCCACCAGCCTCGGCCTCCCAGAGTGCTAGGAATACAGGCATGAGCCACTGGCCAGGCCCAGAATCTACATTTTAATAAGATCTCAAGATGATTCAAATGCACATTAGAGATTTAAAAATACTGATTTAGAAAAACAAAGAAAAAGAAAACAAAAAAATTTTAAAAATTTAAAACAAAACAAATGATTTGAAAGATCCCAAGGTGACAGTCTGTCCAAAGATATTTCAATACCCACTGCTGTACAAAACTCTATCTTTTGGGGTATAAAAATGACTTTATTAATATGTTAGTGTGAATTTTTGTCAAAATAGTTCCAAGAGCTATCTGAAAGCAGATTATGAGGTGGGGGAGGCAAGGAGGGAATGGTAGAAACTGGGACATAGAAAGCAGGCCTTAGAAGATGGTATGAAGTCACCTGAGTTAGGTGTTAGAAGGAAGTAGCATAAATGGGTAGATAATAAAAAGGCACATGGAAGGTTACTTAAATTATTTATTTATTAGACAAAACTAAATACCTACTATGCTAGACAGATCTCAAAATGAATAAAATCATCACTGCCTAAAAGAGTTCAGTTCAGTGAGGGACCAGTACATGTAATATCCTATCTCACAATATCAGTCTGTAATTATCACAATGAAAGTATATACAAACTATTAAGGAAACAGAGGATAAAGTATCTATCTGGAGAGGTCAGTAAAAGTTGCAAAGGTAACGTCAGAACTGAGTATTAAAGGAAGAATTCACCAAGAGGAAAAGGAAGGGGGCACTTCCAGCAGAGAGAAAAGCTTACAGAAAAGCCATGGAGTGGGCATGGTGGTTTACGCCTGTAATCCTAGCACTCTGGGAGGCTGAGGCGGGTGGATCGCTCAAGGTCAAGAGTTCGAGACCAGCCTGAGCAAGAATGAGACCCCCGTCTCTACTAAAAATAGAAAGAAATGAGCTGGACAACTAAAAATATATAGAAAAAATTAGCTGGGCATGGTGGCACATGCCTGTAGTCCCAGCTACTCAGGAGGCTGAGGCAGAAGGATTGCTTGAGCTCTGGAGTTTGAGGTCGCTGTGAGCTGGCCTGATGCGATGGCAGTCTAGCCCAGGCAACAGAGCAAGACTCTGTCTCAAAACAAACAAACAAAAAAACAAACAAACAAAAAAAACCAATAAGAGACTTAGAACTCTGAGAAGATCCGATCTGCATTTTGGAAAGATGACCCCAGAAGAGAGATAAAGTGGGGGTGGGACAGCAAGATCAGCTTAGAGGATCCGCAATAGCGCAAATGAAAACCAAGAACTTGAACCAAGGCATTGTCAGGGAAAAAATGACACGGGGATTGATATGAGAGGTACTTAAGAAAAGTAACTGACAAAGCCCAATAATAATCAATTAAAGGTTAGAAGAGGATAACTGACTCTTCATCCTAGATATCTCAGTATCCTTCTCTTCGTTATCAAAGCCTTTCTTCAAGTTCTCATTATTTTTCACCATGCCTTTATATTACAATTATTCCCCTCATCCTATCCATTCATAAATGCCAAGGAAATCTTTCTGAAACACAATTCTGATCATGCCATTCCCTCATTTAAAATCCTTCAGTTGGCAACCCAAACCTACAGGAACAGTCCAAATTCCTTAACATAACATTTAAGTCCCAGTTGGCCAGGGATTCGAAAGTACTTTTCTAATCTGTCACCACTACTGCATCATCGCCCTCCCTCCACTTCCCTCCCACCGAAATTCTATCCGCCTGCCTTTTTTTCTCACAGCCAACTGTTTTCATCCATTCTCAGTATGCTGCCCTAACTTTCCAACCTAAAACTCAGGGATAGTCTATACTTTTGATTTTTGCAATCGTGGGGTACATTTTAAATTAAACCTACTGATTCATCCATAATTGAAGCTGGATCAAAGAAATCAGGCTTCAGTTCTGTTCTCTCTCTTCTGTTCTTTGATGGTGGCTAAGGGAAAAAAGGAAGTCAGTTGACATTTGTTATACCTATAAACCAGACAGTAACTGAAAATATCCAAGTTAAATGTTCATATGGCCTATGTGATTGTAAGCGTACCTTACAATACTTTAAACACTGTACATTCAACTACAGAATGTTTAAAAGTACAAAAACAATTTATTTGTGGAAAATTATTCTGAAAGACAAAAACTGGAAAACTCATTTTTTTTATTTTACTTTAAAAATCCTTCTCTCAAATCATTTTCCCTTCAAGGTGACAAATTACACTATTCTAAAGATTTAATTATTTCTTTGAGAATACACCATATATACTAAAAAGTAGAATCAGAAGCCCAAGCTTGTAAGTCTCAGCTTCACTGCTTACTAGTTTTGTCTCCATGGATAGGCTAACTGTCCAAGCTTCAATATATTCAATCCTCTCAACCTACCTCACAAAGTTGAATGAGATATATAGTAAAATGAAATATGTAGAAGCATTTTATATACTGTAAGCTCTTATCATATTAATATATTCATATATATATTTAACTTCCTCCAAAGTTTAAGTAATTTTACTTCATTATCTGATAATGAAATATGTCAGTAATAGGGTAGTATCAAGTTAATGTGTTGCTTTGATAATGGTAAATAAATGGAAAATTATAAGGTGATATGATACTTATTATGCTAACTCATAAAACATTTTGGAAAAACTTAATACATAACTATTAAGTATCCTTTGATTTTCACAGTCAAATTAATGTTAAGCAAAATATATCCTTTAAATTTATGTATCCCTAAACTAATCTCAAAAACAAACAGCTAATTTTTTTTTTTTTTTGAGACAGAGTCTCACTCTGTTGCTGGAGTAGAGTGCCATGGCGTCAGCCTAGCTCACAGTAACCTCAGACTCCTGGGCTCGAGCAATCCTACTGCCTCAGCCTCCTGGGTAGCTGGGACTACAGGCATGTGCCACCATGCCCGGCTAATTTTTTCTGTATATTTTTAGTTGTCCAGCCAATTTCTTTCTATTTTTAGTAGAGACGGGGTCTCGCTCTTGCTCAGGCTGGTCTCGAACTCCTGAGCTCAAGCGATCCTCCCGCCTCAGCCTCCCAGAGTGCTAGGAATACAGGTGTGAGCCACTGCATCCGGCCCAAACAGCTAATTTTTATCATCTTAAACTGGGATCTAACACCTTCACCAAACTCACCTTCTCCTCAATCCCTTCTCATATACCTAAACCCCTGGCAACTACTTTATTTAATATTTTTGCAAAACTTACTTTTCATGGTGTTTCTCTAATAAATATCCGACTTAATTTCCAAGGGATCTGAATTGAAAATCTTACAAAAATCATTAAATTTCTTACCAAGTCTATATCCATGGTGTCGAAATCCATTCCCTCATTAAGATCCTCAATCCTCCCTTCTGAGGACATCATAACATCTTCAACAATTGGCTCTTCATCATCTTCCATTAGGCTAGTGCCACGCCGACTAGAGAAATATAAAACAAAGTCAAGATTTGAACTAATATTGCGACTATTAAAATACAGGCAGCAGTATGTAGTTCTCTATATTCAAGTATAATGGAAAATGATGGAATTAAAGGTCAGGGAGAATGATTAGGCATTGATCATGTCATCAATGATGTCAAACCCCCAATGTTCACTTGTCTAAAAATGCTAAGGAGTTATGTTTATTCTATACTGCTTCAATACATTTAGCTTTATAGGCCTGATATCTCATATACAAGGTTCAATGAGAATTTCCCACATGGGAACATATAAGATACCTCAAATCCTTTTTGAAAGTAGGCAGGATACAAATTAATAAACAAACATAAAACAGAGACCAAAAAAAATGACATTTTCAGAATACATATAATTTCATCAATACATAATGCTAATTTTACTCATCACTCATTCATTACCTAATGTGTACCAGGCATGCACTCACTCATTCACACAGTGCCTACTATGTGACAGGCTTCTACTGTGTGCTATGGATGTTAAAAAAAGAAACAATGAGTAAGACATGGTCCCTGCCCTCAAGGAGCTCACAGTCTACTATGGGAAACAGATAAACTATTAATTATGACAAAATGTGATAAATATTACAATAGAACTACGCATCAAGTGCTATAAGGATATGAAAGAAGGGATTAATTCTGTCTCAGGAAGAAATGAGCAACTCTTATGCTGAAACTTGAATTCTTGTGCCCCATGAAACTCAAAACTAGATATATATAGAAATGTAAAATAGAAAATTAAGACCAAAAGCTCTGTATTTTATCACATAATTATGAAGAATAAACTAAGTTCACAAATTAGCCCAGATCAGCATAAAGTAGCCAACATAATAGTGAAATTAAGTGTGATCTCTTCTCCAGTTTGGCCAACATTAACTTCTTTTCTTATCCAAAGACACCTCCCCCTAAATAAGACCACCCAAACCCCATCAGTTATTTACTGAATGCTTACAATTTACACAATACTGTGCTATGTCTTTTAAAACTTTTTTTCTTGTAAAGACAGAGTCTTGCTATGTTTCCCAGGCTGGTCTCAAACTTCTGGGCTCAAATTATCCTCCTGCCTCAATCTCTCAAAGTACTAGGATTACAGGCATGAGCCACTGTGCCTGGCCTGTGCTGGGTCTTAAAAGATACAAAGATAACAAGACATGATGTCTGATCCAGGCTCCCTGGACAAATATGTTGATAATGGTCCTTATTTCCTAACAGTTCTGGATAATAAAAAAGATAACTTCACTATATTTAACGGAGGCAACTGAGAAGGGAATGTGTACTTTGTGGATCGTGTTACAGAAAACCAGAAATCTATTCTGCATTTTGTTTGGAGTATAAAGAAGATATGTGATATAAACTTTAAAAAATAAGAAAGATAATTTGGAAGTATTTTCAGTTATAAGGCAGGTATGATTACAGAAAAATCATTGTAAGACAAAAATATTTTAAGGTCCCAGGCAAGAGACCACTTATGGTTACAACCACCACCAAAAAATAATCCCCTGGTAATAGTTATTTAACTGAGATAATCCCTTATAGTTGCCTGGGGGAGATTATCTATAATTGGGAATTGAAACAAATTGCAAACAAAATAATAATGATATGATAAATGGTACTGAGTGATGAGATTCTATATAGGATCTTGGGAACTGGTACAAAGTTTTCAGGGAAGAGATACAGATCAAATGATTACATAGCAGAATTCTGGAATATCTGGACTGGTGACTGGTTGAAAGCTAAGAAATTAGTTGTAGAATCCAGCATGAAATAAGAGCACACATTAGGGGAATGTGGCCACAGAAACAGAGAAAAGGGGATGGAACCAAGTGATAATATATAAATGATGACCATATTAACCAAGTTAGAATCAGTATCTATACATGTAATAGAGTATACTTTCTGTCTCTAGAGGTTCTTAAGACCACTATGGAAATAACTAAAGTGAATTTATGTAGGCTACCACTAATGTGGTAAATGATCATTTAAGAAAAACAGGTGAAATTCTTATTTAAAAACCAACGAAACAGAACACAATATAAATTAAAAAAGAAGAGAGTAACATTTACTACCTCCCAGTTTTAAATATACACATTATGTTCCAAGTACAATGCTTTCAAACTGAAAAACTTAATCAGAGTCATCACACTTTACCCTGAATACCAATCAAGACATGAAAAACATTATCTAAAAACTACTTGTCTGCCATTTCTTTTAGAGCCAAAGCTAATGAAGATTTCAGAAATATTTATCAAGTTCTCATACAGAATCCAGTAAAAACGAAGTATTTAAAAGGTAAACAATTTTTTTTAGCATTGAACATTTATTTATTCAATGAACATTTACTTAGCACCTTTTACGTGCCAAGCACTGACAGGCAATGAATGTGGTCCCTGCCCTTGAGGAGCTCACAGTCTAGACAAAGGGACAAACTCATAAACAAATAATTACAATACAACATGGTAAGTGTTATAAGAAATATGAATATACACAGTGTTATGGGAGCATAGATGACCGAAGCTTCACGTAAGGTGACACTTGAGCTTGTTCTTTTACGATGATTTTACCAGTAGCCAGGGAATGGGAAATGATACTAAAATGTAGGCAGGGGCCATATTTTGAAAGATCTTTGCATGCCATGAGCTAAGGAGTTTGGACTTTATCCAGCAGGAAATGCGGAGCCATGGAAAGGTTTTAAGTTAAGAGTTACATGGTAAGAATTTTATTCTAGAATAATAATTCCTGATGGCAGTGTGAATGATGGAGCGGTGGGGGAGTGTGAAGGGAGAGGTTTGGTGAGAGGATAAATGGGAGATTTGAGGGAAGAAAACCAGTTAGAAAGCTAATACAATAGTTCAGGTAGAAGATGAGGGCCTGAACTAAGGTAGGAAAATCAATTAAGATGTAACAGAACTGTATTTTTAATTTTGTGTACCAAAATAAACAAGGATTCATATTTAAACTTTTCCAACAGATCAACCTAAGATTGGTCCTTTGGCTAACTAGTTAATATTAACTTAAAACGTTTTTTGTTTCCTGTTGGAAAGACCAATTTTTAATTCCTTGATTATTTCAGCTTAAGTTACTCTAGAGAGTTTGCTGAAATTTTTAGATAAGGCACACATTAAAATATGTTAAAATGAATTAGTGAACTTCCTAGACTCAGACAATAAGGCACTCTCACTTACATGGCATGCTGAAGATTAGTTCGCAGTTTAACATAGCTCATTGCTGCTCTCTCCTGCTGTTGCCTTGCTTCCTCTTGTTGTCTTTGAGCTAACATCCATGTTACCTGCGTGCTTCAAGGAGAATTTTATTCTTCTTTTAACTTAACTTTTTTCTATGTAATTAATAAAGTTATAGCACAGAAAATGATCAAATGTACTTACTTATAATCAAGGGGAGGTTGATGATGTTCAGTCTGCATTGGATAGACACTCATGAAGCTATCCTCAGGCCGTAATCTTTTGGGCTCTCTCATAATAGTGGAGGTGAGTTGTGGTGTCTGCATCATAACAGGGGTGTGCAGTGTTTGTTCTCTGCTTAACCACATACTGTCACTACTACTACTTTCTTCAGCTGTAAAAGAAAATTAATAGCAATTAAGGCCATTTACTAATTTTGACTAATCAGATGTCTAACACAACCCATTCACGTCAACAAACATCTGTTGCTTTCCACAAACTAGTGCTAGGAAGAGAGGCACATGAAGATATGGAAGGTGCAGTCCCTGCCTGTTTATAGTCTAGCTGTGGACAAAGAACCGCCACGCAATAATAATATACTATGGTAAGTGCGAGGAGAGAGGGAAACACAGGGGGAATAGGAGCAGCTGTGAGAGGAGTCAGAGCCAGCTACTAGGAAGCAACTTCTAAGTAGAGTTAGTACTGAGTGGGCTGTGAAGGCTTTTCTAAGCAGGGAGAAAAACATAAGCGAGAGCATTGAAGCATGAAACAACAATGACTGAACCATATTAATCTGCTGATATCTGACCTACAAAAAGGGCAATTTCATATGGTTCAAACTAATAGTTTGCTACTTTTGGGGTATAAAGATTGAAAGAGTGGCAAAAGATAATGGCTGGATAAAGAAGGGGGAATCAATTTGTGGAAAGTCTTGTAAGCTGTGCTAGCTAAGGTGACAAGGAACTGCTGCTGAAGGTTTTAAGGAAAGGAAACAATTTGGTGAATTACATGTTTTAGTCAGGGTGGTGGCAGTGTGGAGGGCAGACTTAATAACAGGAAGACTGGTAAGCAAATAGGCCAGTTAAGAGGCTAACTGTATTGCCCAAGTGAGCGAGACATGGTAACAGGGATGGAAACAAATAGGAGATTGGTTCCCAATCTATAGGTTACAGACTGCTTAGCAGGTCATAAGGAGCAATTGCAAGGGGCAGGGGGCGCACAAATCCATGTGTACATTAAGCACTGGAATGAAGAAAAAAAAAAAAACCCAAACAGGTTTCACCTGCAAAAGCTACTTTTCCCCCAAATGTCAGTAGATCTTACCATGATTAATAAAAGTCAAACTTGCATACAAGTGTTAGTGAATTAATAGTAATTTTAAAAATCACTTACTTGGGAGGTAAAATTGATAGCACTTGGTGATTAATTGAGTTTGGAAGAAAACTATTTTATCAGATTATATGTGTACATAATACATAAGTTTTTAAGGAAAGAGTGGAAAGAAATGTGGCAATAGCTAATACCCTAGTAATAGATGGATTTGACATAAATTCCATATTTTGCAATGTAATTACATCAACCTTTAAGTTCCCCTATATTCAGGCTCCAACACTGTGTTCAAAATTGCACTGACCTGGCCAACCTATCAGTATTTATCCTTCCTCCTTCTAATTTATTAATGCCTCAATTTCTATGGCTCTCAAAAAACCTCAAAAAAGAGAGCATGGACTCTTTCTGTAAAAACTGAAGTACCTGGTTTGATAATCTATTAACATTTGTAAGATGTTATATAAATACCAATTCACATGTGTCCTCCCATGAGGTCTAAGAAAAAAGATTTGATGGCTCAGCACAAATTTATAACTATTAAGTACTGATTCAGATGAGAAAAACCTTTTAAAATTTACAGTGATATGCAATTTGATAACGTTTTCTATTTTTAAAAAGAAAAATTTCTGGGCCAGGCGCGGTGGCTCACGCCTGTAATCCTAGCACTCTGGGAGGCCGAGGCGGGTGGATTGTTTGAGCTCAGGAGTTCGAAACCAGCCTGAGCAAGAGTGAGACCCCGTCTCTACTAAAAATAGAAAATAAATTAATCGGCCAACTAAAAATATATAGAAAAAATTAGCCGGGCATGGTGGCGCATGCCTGTAGTCCCAGCTACTCGGGAGGCTGAGGCAGGAGGATCGCTTGAGCCCAGGAGTGTGAGGTTGCTGTGAGCTAGGCTGACGCCATGCCACTCACTCTAGCCCAGGCAAAAGAGTGAGACTCTGTCTCAAAAAAAAAAAAAGAAAAAAAGAAAAATTTCTTTTAACTTCTTATCAACCATCAGTCCTAACCATTTTAACTGGTCAGGGATACTGTAATTAAAAGAGATTTCCCAATCAACCATGATGTTGGGAATATATAACCAATCAAGTCTAAAATTGTACAAGTTAGAAGTCTAAGGTTATGTCTTTATACTACTGGACAAAAATACTAAAACCATTAATCAATGGGACAATCAAGTATTAAACAGTATACACCTGATGATAAATAATAGCTGATAAGTTATGTGGCAACTTAAATATGGCCCCCAAATTCTTTGACACCTCTCACATAAAAGGTAGAGGTTTATGTCCCCTCCCCCAGAATCTCTGTGATTGCTTGGCCAACAGAACAGGGCAGAAGTTATGCTATGCCAGTTTCTGGGCCTAAGAAATTGGTAGCATCTACTTTCTGTCTCTTGGAACACTTGCTCTTGGAGCCCAGCAATATGCTGAGGTCCCAACTGACAGCCAGCATCAGATATGTAAGCGAAGATGCCTCCATATGATTCCAACAACCAGCCTTTGTGTCTTCCTAGCTAAGGCATCAGATACCCATGGTCCTGGCTATGTCCTAAGTTTATAGGTAGTTTGTTATTCAGAAATAAAAACTGCAACAAATTTTAAGAACTATGCTAATTTGTTTAAAGGTTCCCAAGAAAAGGAAAAAAGTCCCCAGACCCATTTTGAACCAACTCCGAAATGTTAGGAGCTCAAGAACTTTAAGCATAATGCATTGCTACCTCTACTATGATAGACAGCACTTTGTATTTCTATCAAGTTCTTCATAATTAATGGCCTCTTTGTGGAAATTCAGAAGTTGCAACCTCTCTGAATCTGTTGTTCCACTTTAACTAGATGATCTGATCTCTTGGGTGATAACTACTCTATAATACTGAGTCCATTTCCCAATGCATACGGTATAGCATAGTGATTAAAAAAGCAGGTGCTCTAGAGTGAGACTGCCTGACTCATCTATTTAATACTTGTGTGAAATTTGGTAAGTTACTTAACCTCTCTGTGCTAAGTTTTCTCATCTGAAAAATGAGGATATACTCCAAGAATTGTGAGAATTGAGTTTACGTATGTAAAACGCTTAAAACAGCACATTTACACATAACTGACACATTGCGTACACTATTACTGAACAACACATATCTCAAATAAAAAATAAGGTGAACCTTAATGACAATTCAGTTGATAAATATTATGGATAAATACAATGAGAATAAATTATATCCTTACGGAGTGCAAGCTGCATGCCCTCAACCACTTTCCGTTTTCCTGTAGATGGTTTTGATTTTTTACTCCGTACAGTTGACCCCCGACTGCTGATTCCACTAATGACTGACATGGTGTCATCATCACCACCAGCTAGCAAAGAATTTCGGTAAGACATCAGAGGAAGCCACACATCTTCTCTTCGGAGTGACATCTGAAAGGTCATGAACTTTTCCAAGTAAACATACCTTTAAAAGAAGTAGAAACTCTTAGCTTTGATACAGAAAACTGCCAGTTCTACTAACCCCTAGTTGTGTGAGCATGGACATATTACTTCACTACTCAATCTCAGACTCATCAGAACACTGATGAGCAATTTTGTCTCTACCAAGACTCTCACACTGAATGAAATAATTCAGAGCATTTCAGATTAACGTCTGTGGAGTACCTACTATGTTCCAGGCACCAGGGACAGATACAAAGATTAATCAGCTATGGTCCCTACCAGCAAGAAAGTATCAGCCTGATGGAAACCATAAATCTACCCATGGATCCAAGTATCACAAGGCTTTTTTATCATTGTTATTTTTTATTTCAAGAGAGTTATTATTAGAAAAATTCAGTATTTGTGGTGTCTCTGATTCCAAGTCTAGTGTAAAACATCTAAGCTGTTAGATCTAATGTTTTTGAATATTTTAATATGAGCTTTGTACCACTGACTCAATTAATTTTACCATGTAAAATACCCACATTTCAAACAAGGAATTTTCAGACAAATCAATTTTGTTGTCTAAATAGATACAACTTGATCTAGTCAAATTGTTGTTGAAACCACAAGGGGGTTTCAGTCTAGGTCAGTTGCTTATCAAAGAGCCAAAGATCCAATTATTGACACAATAAGAATTGCCAAGGAAGAAAGGAGTTTTTAATATGACAGACATCTTGTAAGGAGAACTGGGAGAAGCTGCCTCAAATCCATTTCCCACAAGGCTTGTAAGTAATTCTCTAATAAAAATTTAACTAACATTCATATGACTACTATGTGCTAGGTATTTTTCTCTCAGGTTAACTATTCTTACAATTCAGTGAGGGAATTGTTCTCCCCATTTTACAGATAAGGAAAGAAAGGATAAAAAAAATTAAGAATTAATGGGCCCACAATAATAAAAATAAGTAAGCAGCATAACCATGATTCTAGTCCTAGGCTCTGACATTATAGTTCAATAAGGCTAAATTATGTTTTGTTTTGTTTTGAGACAGAGTCTCACTCTGTTGCCCAGGCTAGAGTGCCGTGGCGTCAGCCTAGCTCACAGCAACCTCAAACTCCTGGGCTCAAGCGATCCTCCTGCCTTAGCCTCCCGGGTAGCTGGGACTACAGGCATGCGCCACCATGCCCGGCTAATTTTTTCTATTTTTAGTTGTTTGGCTAATTTCTTTCTATTTATAGTAGAGACGGGGTCTTGCTCTTGCTCAGGCTGGTCTTGAACTCCTGAGCTCAAGCAATCCTCCTGCCTCGGCCTCCCAGAGTGCTAGGATTACAGGCGTGAGCCATCGCACCCGGCCTAAATTACGTTTTGAATTAATAAAGACTATTTGTCAACTAACTGTAAAGTGCAATTCAAATATTTGCTGTCATCATAATGATGCATTCCAATCAATTCAGATTTACTAGTTCTGAATAGCATTAAAGAGAATAGGAGATACCAGTTACAAAACATACTGCTTTGTGTTAACTGTTTCACATGTCTTTCTAATTACAATGTACTTCAGTCATACATAGAACAGTACTCCTCCAAGTTTGGCCCATGAACTGGCTACCTGTCCAAGAAATGTATACGACAAGATAGAGAGCTTGAGCCAAAATATACTCATTGGTAGAGAGATTTACAACTATGTACCCACCACATACCTAAATAGAACACTACAGGTAAGTAGCCCTCCATGGAGCTATTCCCATTTCTCCTCCTCCTTGTCCAAGAGGTTACCACTAACCTGAATTTGCTATTTATCATCCCCATGCATATTTATTATATTTTAATACATAGTTGTCTGTAAACACCATAGCAGTTTTGTACTTTGCTATTTGTACTCAACATTATGTTTTTAAAATCTAAGCCATTTTGATTGCTGTGTGGTATTCCATCATATATCAATCTATTTTTTTGGTCTTTTTTTTTTTTTTTTTTTTTTTTGAGACAGGATCTCACTGTGTTGCCCGGGTTAGAGTGCCGTGGCGTCAGCCTAGCTCACAGCAACCTCAAACTCCTGGGCTCAAGCGATCCTCCTGCCTCAGCCTCCCGAGTAGCTGGGACTACAGGCATGCGCCACCATGCCCGGCTAATTTTTTCTATATATTTTTTTTTAGTTGTCCAATTAATTTCTTTCTAATTTTAGTAGAGACGGGGTCTCGCTCTTGCTCAGGCTGGTTTCGAACTCCTGAGCTCAAACAATCCGCCCGCCTCGGCCTCCCAGAGAGCTAGGATTACAGGCATGAACCACCGCGCCCGGCCTTTTTGGTCTTTTTTATATATCGATCTATTGATCCATTTCTAGTTGATAGATGTTTAGGCTGTTTTGAGTTTTTCCTTATTCAGACAATCAAAAAGTCAACATTATTTTATGATTCTCCTCATGCATGTGCTCAAGAGTTTCTGCAGGGTATCTACTTATGAGTGAAATTACTGGATCATGAGGCATTGCCAAATTGTTCCACAAAGTGGTCTTGTACCAATTTACACTGTCATCAGCAATGTATAAAAGGCTTTACTGGTCCACATCCTTGTATATATTTGACACTATTAGACTTCTTAATTTTTGCTGATCTGCTTGGTGAGAAATGGTATTTCATTGTTTTTATTTGTATTTCTCTGATTAATACTGTCTATGCACTTTTTACTTGGGTTAAATTTATATATAATAGAACACACAGAAATCGAGTACAGTTGGATCAGTTTTACACATAAATCCATGTGTGTAACCCACATGCGTATTAAGATACAGAACATTCCCATGACTCCAGAAAGTACCCCGTTTTCCCAATCTCTCCAACCCTAGAAGTAACCACTACTGTGATTTCTATCACCATAGATAGTTTTGTCTGCTTTAGACTTTCATATAAAATCTATGCAGTCCTTTAAATATAAAATACTGGTGGGTTTTCAGAAGAGATTATCTATACTATGGGGTATTCATATTCTTCTGCCCTTTTATACCTCAAAGCCAAGGGGAAAGGTGGAAAAAAGATTGAGAATTTAAATCCATTTTCTGGGCTCTCATAAGTCACCGTATTAGGAGGCTAAACCAGAGAAGTGCCCTGTTTAAACGATCTGTTGAGGACAGGAATAGTAGTTAAAGTAAAAAGATAACACATGGATGTCCACTTTCTGGTGTATCCATAGCTCAACACACAGACTAACTAGGATGCTCCTGATGGATCCCCAATATTATTGTCTTTTAAATGATCCCTCCCTAGGTGGGTTAAGGCAAGAATGCAAATAAGAATACATAAAACGGCTGCATGCAATGGTGCATGCCTATAGTCTCAGGTACTCAGGAGGCTGAAGCAGGAGAATCACTTGAGCCTGGAAGACTGAGGTCAGCCTGGGCAACATAGTGAGGTCCCATATTTTTAAGAAAAAAACAGAAAAAAAAAAAAGAAAAGAGGACAAAAGAAAAGAAAGAAGGCCAGGCACAGTGGCTCATGCCTGTAATCCTAGCACTCTGGGAGGCCGAGGTAGGAGGATTACTTGAGCTCAGGAGTTCGAGACCAGGCTAAGCAAAAGTGAGATCCCATCTCTACTTAAAGAAAAAAAAAATTTAGCCGGGCATTGTGGCGTGCCCCCGTAGGCCCAGCCACTTGGGAGGCTGAGGCAGGAGAATCGCTTGAGCCTAGGAGTTTGAGGTTGCAGTGAGCTATGATGACACCACTGCACTCAACCTAGGGCAACAGAGTGAGACAAAAGGGAAAGGGAAAGGGAAGAAAGAATATATAAAGCATTCAAGTTACACCTCAAAAGCCAAAACTATACTGGGAAGGGAGCTTACAATATTAAAATGGAGTATGATGCATATAGTTATAATCTCTAATCTATAAAGTTGTTGAAGCATAAAGTTTTTCTACATTAATGCAATCTTACAATTCTAATCTGTGCATGTAAAGGGGAGGAATCCAAGTATAACACTTGCTTTTAAGAATTCTAAAATGAAATTAAGTAGGACATCTCCAGCAAATACATACACGGTTCTTTTGTCTTGTCGGAGTAGTTTAGAAGAAAATTCACTCAGAATATCAAGAAATGCCAAATTTAAAGGTGGATGGCTCTCCCCTTGTGGATTAGGCTCTTTAAAAGCAAATTCTATGCCATCTCTGCAAAGAAAGAATTATTGAAATAAATATTTGGGAAAGTACAATAAAACATTTAATGACTTAGAATGGAAATTTCACTCTACTTCCTTTGAGATGCTTTTAATTTGAGGAATAGAGAATAAGGAGGCTGTAAGTGTAAGAATGAGCAAATACATTCACATTTTATGTCATTGTTATTTCTTTAAAACCACACACACACGCGCGTGCCAGCTTGCCTTCAGTTTGGTATATTCACATTATTTACTCATACTTTTTTCCATAGAAAATATCAAAATTTTTTCATATAATGACAAATACATTGTACTTTTCAAGACATAAAGGAATGACTATTTATAATGACTCATTTAAGAGCAAAGTTTTAAAGTTAAACTTCGCTTGGGGCCCATTTTAACTATATTTAGGTGGCAATAAATACCTTTATTAATCAAGAAAACAACTCAACATTATACTCTATAAAAATGTAACTGGGTATAAAACAATTCAGATGGAATTGAGGAGGAAAGAAAGAAGGCTATTACATGAAGAAAATGATGTATTACTCCTCAAAATAATTACTACATGTGTGGTCCTTAAATATTACCTAAAAATGCTATCCAATGTATAAAAGGCATAAAAATGAATTCGAGAGTTTTAGAATAAGGTTACCAGAGAAAGTGAATTAACGCGGGTGGTATGGGCAAACTTAAGAGCAGAAAATTTTCTTCAGGGAGACATTTAACACTTTTATAAACTAAGTAATCAAGAGGGGTAAGAGAAACAAAAAACAGAAAGCTTTCAATAAAGAAGAGTGCAAGCCTTTTGATTTTCCTAAAGGCAAGGTTCCTTAACCCACAGTTTAGAGATAAAGGGTCTTAACATACAAACATTGGTTATGTTAAGGCTCTTAAATGTACCCATACTTAAAAAGTATAACTGATCATTGAATTATATGCCCAATATAAAAGTGAACAATTTCCAATTTTGATAAGGGGAAGAAAACATGCAGATAGAAAGAAGGTTGTGGCTCAAAACAAGGGGAAAGTCTATAAAATAGAGAATAGAACCAGAAAGAGAACACTTGAGACAAAGGAATCAAATCTCAAGGATTTCTCTCTCTAGCAGTGAGACTATGACAAAAGGTGATAAAAAAGATTGTGTAATGCCTGATAAATTTATGCTGCTTTGCTTCACATAATTTATAAAGACTTTGTACAGTTTTCAGTGAAAAAAAATACTTTCTTATAAAGGGAGTTTTAATCCCAACTCATTTGTTAATTGAGATAGCACTATAACTAGTTCATTAGATAAGAAAGGAGATATGGTACAGATTTATAAAATAATAAAACATATATTTAATTTAGTTATTCCAAATGAAAGTGCTAGATACCAAAAAAAAAGTTCATTGACTAAAAATAAAGTATCTGAAGATTACTTGTGTAGCATGGCAATGGCTTCTCTTGTTTTCAACTGATCAAGTCCAAAAGTTAAAGCAAAACGTCGAGCAAGCTCCTTTATGCCACTAAATGTAGAAGATGATCTATCAAAATTATAGCCATTTTCCTGTATCATTTCATTAAAAAGCTGTTTGAGAAGAAAGAAAGCATGTTAGAGGTTTTTTTTTAACCACTATGGATTAACATCTTTTAAAATATGGTATTTTCTATTTAAAATTCAGATGTTCAATAAACGAGGCACTGTACTTTACACTAAAACATGGATTTTAAAAAACATGATACAAATGACCAAAATTACAGCATTTCATACACTAAAATTAGAGGTCGTTATTGATATTAGAAACTCTTTAGGTTAGTTTGGGCAGAATCCTATTCTGCTGGTATTAATTCGATATTAACATAGCAGATAAAAATATAAATAAAAAGGAAACCCAGTAAATTATTAGGCAACTATGCTCTATTATTTACATTTAAGTGATCAATCTTCACATCAAGAACTTTCATCATACAGAAAGCTTCAGAATTTTGATGTTCTTTGACTAAGCAGTTCTAATTATAGAACTTTATTTCAAAGAAATATCAAAATTTATGCACAATATTAGTACAAAAATATTTATTTTAGTGCTACCTATAATGATGAAATTTGTGAAAAAACCTCAACATAAACAAGAGGAATCTGGTTAAATTATGGTCCATCTATAAATTGGAATATTATACAGTCACTAAAAAAGACAGTTTTTCCTAATTACCTTAATCTGATAATGATACATTATATATATATACACATTATATATATAAAAAACATCATTATATACCCCATAAATACATACAATTATGTGTCAATTTAAAAAATGATGAAGACTTTGTGTATATATCTAAAGAAAATAAAATCAGTATGTTTAAAAGATATCTGCACTCTCATGTTCATTCCAGTTTTACTCACAATAGATAGGACATGGAATCAAACCAAGTGCCCATCAGCTAATAAATGGATAAAGAAATACTATTCCATTGTGTGTGTGTGTATTATTCAGCCTTTACAAAGAAGGAAATCCTGTCATTTGTGAAAACACAGATGAACCTGGACGACATTATGTGATATGAAATAAGCCAGGCAAAGGAGGACAACTACCACACGATCTCACTTGTATAGAGAATCTAAAAATGATGAACTTATAGAAACAGAGAGGAGAATGGTGGTTGCCAGGCACTGGGAGTGGGGGAGAGGAGATGTTGGTCAAAGGGTACAATGTTTCGGTAGGGTAGAACAGGATGAATAAATTCTGTAGATCTATCGTAAAACATGGTAAGTACAGTTAAGAATAATGGACTAAGTGCTGTGGCTCACACCTATAACCCTAGCACTATGGTAGGCCAAGACAGGAGGATTGCTTGAGGCCAGGAGTTTGAGCCCAGCCTGAGCAACATAGCAAGACCCTGTTTCTACAAAAAACAGAAAAATTAGCTGGGCAGGGTGGCATGCGCCTGTAGTCTCAGTATCCAGGAGGCTGAGAATTACTTAAGCCTAGGAATTTGAGGTTTCAGTGAGTTATGATGACACTACTGAACTCTAGCCCAGGTGACACAGTGAGACCCTGTCTCAAAAAAAAAAAAATTATGTACTGTATTATATATTTGAAAATTGAGAGATGATCTTAAATGTTCTTACCACAAAAAAGTGAGATAATGTATATGTTAATTAGCTCAATTTAGTCATTTCACAATGTATACACATATCAAAACATCACATTGTATACTGTAAATATATAAAATTTTCATTAGTCACTTATACCTTAATAAAGAAGGAGGGAAAAAATAAGCCCCTACTGCTCATAAAATAAAATGCTAAGGACATTATTTAATGGCATGAATGTATTCAGAGTTTGTTAATAATAAAATGCAGACTTGAAAAATAGAATATACAATATAATTTAATTTTTATAAAAATTAAGATTCCACATAGGCATAAAAAAGACTAAGAAGGCTATTAAAAAATAAAAAGGTTATTGTTAAGTGAAAACATTAAGGATAACTTGTATTTGTTCCATTTCTTATATTTTCTAAATTTTTTACAGCTAGCAATTATTTTATAGCAAAAGTTATTAAATATTTAAATGCTACTTTTAAAACGTTTTAAATTTTATTAATTTTAAAAAGGAATATTCAGATTTGCAAATGAAATTAAGAACTTTCATACTTACATTTCTAAAAAGCAAGAAAGTTTATCAAATCGTAATGGGCTGGATTATGTTTTACATGCAAATTTTGTCTCCAAAGACAAAAGCACACTCTAGGCAAATAATTTTACTTAATTAAACCTGCCTTGCTACTGCCAAAATGAAAAGGATGGCTGCGTTTTAATTATAAAAAATTCATAGATGTTCACTAAAGTCTGGAAATGGAGAAAAAAGTAAAATTCACATGAAATCTACCAAAGCAAGTTAACTATTACTGACATGACATACGTTGTAAGTTTTCACATATATTGCCAAACTGCCTACCATAATCTATTTCCTCCAAACCTTAGACAGCTATAAGTTTTGCCAATCGACAGTCTGAAAGCAAAAAATGATCTATCTTACTTGCACTTTTTTGTCTACTAGTGAGGCTGAATATTTTGTATTTCTATTTTTATGCATCCTTTGCCTGGTTCCAACCGCTACCTTATTCTGCTAATTATTAAGTGTTAATTATGTTACCTAAAGCTGGTACTCTTAATGTCTTACCTGTTGCAGACTGAGAATGAGGGTCTTAGCACACTGAATTTTGTCTATCTGCCTTGTTTTACTCATTGTTTCTTTGATGATATCTCCATAGTCATTATAATACTAGAAAAGAAATTTACACAAATTAGTGCTTTATATATTAAAACTATTGGACAGTAAGAATAATTTTAGGTTAGTCATGTAAACATTTCACGAAGTATATATTTGGCTGAAATTATGCCTTACAAAAACAGGAACTAATGTTACCAAAACTTTAAGATCATTTTTAAGCACATAATCCCTAACTTCTGTAAGTTCAGACATACCAAACAATTAAGATCCAATCAAATAAAGCTCCACACTTGGTTTTAAATAAATGAGGTACGGAATAAAACAATAATTGGGTTATGCAGATTTTCAGAAGTAACACAAAGGATATAAACAAAGTTCTCTTCGTGAACTATTAAGACAATGAATATAATCACAGTTACTCTTAGAACTTTCTGTAGAGACAAGGTCTCACTGTGTGTGGCCTAGGTTGGTCTTCAACTATTGGCCTCAGGCAATCCTCCTGCCTAGGCCTCTCAAAGTGCTAGGATTACAGATGCAAGCCACCACACCCAGCCATAAACCCCCTTTAAAAGAAAACTTATTGTGCATGACATTTACATTATGCATTGTCCATGAACTTTTTCTTTTCTAATTTGAGATCGTATTTCAAAATACATATACGACTATCAGAGAAAACAGAATAACCATGTTCCTAATCTAGAATACCTAAATCTAAGTTTAAAATTTGTGAAATAACTTCATAAGCAACCTTAGTTTTTTAAAAATCTAACAATTATCACTCCAAATGTTTGAAATTCCAAAATA